TGCAACAAACCTGGGCATACTAAAGAAAAGTGTTTTAAGCTGGTTGGATTTCCTCCGGGTTGGCAAAGCAAAGCAAAAACTTCAAAGGAGAAGATAGAATCTGCTTCATCCAATAATGCCATTTCAGGTTCAAGTCAGTCTACGGGTAAAGGGTTTAGTCTCACTCAAGAACAATATGAGCAGCTCATGTCCTTATTGCCCTCTGCTAGCCAGAATATAGCAAACTTTGTTGGTAAGGTCACCCAATCTCATGATATTTCAGACGGGATCCTAGACAGTGGTGCATCCGAACATCTTACATGTGATGCACCCTCTCTCTTTAATGCTACTTCCTACACTTTACCTGTCAGATTACCAAATGGGACAACTGTTCCTATGCACTCTATTGGTCAAATTAGATTGTCAAATATGGTTTTAAATCATGTTCTTCATATACCCTCTTTCAAATGCAATCTTCTTTCAATAAGTAAATTGACAAAAGCCCTTTAGTGTTCAGTCACATTTTTTCCATCATTTTGTGTCTTGCAGGACCTCAAATCAAAGAAACTGATTGGAATGGGTGAATTATGTGATGGCTTATACTACTTCCATGAGCTTCAATTACCATTTACTACAGCTGCATCTCTTCCTTCCTCATCCACCTTATGGCATGAACGATTAGGTCATCTTTCATTTGATCGATTATCTCTAATTCCTGAATTTTCTAGTTTATCTTTAAAAAATTTGAGCAGATGTTGTGATGTGTGCCATCGAGCTAAACAAACTCGAAATGTTTTTCCTAGCAATAATAAATCTGATTTCTCTTTTGATTTGGTTCATTGTGACATTTGGGGTCCTTATAAAACCCCATCTCTTTCCGGTGCTCATTATTTTCTTACTATTGTGGATGATTGCACAAGATGCACATGGGTTTATCTCCTCAAACACAAGTCAGAAGCACAAAAACACTTCATTCAATTTCATGCTATGGTTAATACCCAATTTAGTCGTGATATCAAACAAGTTAGGAGTGATAATGGTCTAGAATTTACTGCTAGTCCTATGTCTAACTTTTTTTTTCTTAGTGGTATTTCACATCAAACATCTTGTGTTGATACCCCGCAACAAAATGGAATAGTAGAGCGTAAGCATCGTCACTTATTAGAGGTTGCTCGTGCTCTTCGATTCCAAGCAAACCTACCAATCAAATTTTGGGGTGAATGTGTTTTGACTGCAGCCTATCTAATAAATTATACTCCTACACCTAAATTGTCTGGTAAGAGTCCTTATGAGATGTTATTTTCAAAGCCTCCAKTATACTCTCATTTACGTGTCTTTGRTTGTTTGTGTTATGTGCATGATAAAAATCGATCAAAAGATAAGTTTGCACCTCGTTCCAAGCCTTGTATTTTTATTGGTTATCCTATGGGACAAAAGGGATATAGAGTTTATGACATGGAATCGTACAAAATCTTTACATCACGGGATGTCATTTTTTATGAAAATCAATTCCCTTTTCATTCTCACAACCCTCCAAAAGAACCAAATGTAATTGTTCATTTACCAATTATTGATTCTTTGGAGACATCACCTGTTGTGCCTCCTTGTCACAATTCCCAAATACAATGTCCACAAACTGATCTTGAAGATAATATTACCACACCTGCCTTCGTTGACTCTAACCATGAGGTTACATCATCATCTCAAGACTCACCTACACAAATCTCGACTGAACAATCAAGTCCCACACAAAATTCTCGTCCTAACTCATCACGACCTCAAAGGACTTGCCGCCTTCCCTCTCGTCTTGATAATTATGTGTATCAGCTTCCTGGAGTAGATAAGCTATCACAACCTACATCCAACGCAGTTTCTTCAAGTACTCTTTATCCTATATCATGTCATTTGTCTTATTCTCGTTTTGTTCCATCTCATCAAGTTTTTCTTGCTAATATTTCTGTTGTTAGTGAGCCTAAATCCTTTTCCCAGGCTGTCAAAGACCCGAAATGATGTGAGGCTATGAAATAGGAAATTTCTGCTCTAGAGAAAAATCGTGCTGGGAGCTTAGTGCCATTACCCTTAGGGAAGAAACCAGTTGGTTCTCGTTGGGTATACAAAGTAAAATACAAGTCAAATGGTTCTGTTGAGCGCTATAAGGCACGATTGGTAGCCCAAGGAAATACACAAATTGAAGGTCTGGATTATACCGAAACCTTTGCTCCCACTGCAAAATTAACTATTGTTAGGTGTTTGTTGGTTGTTGCTGCTGCAAAAAATTGGGAATTACATCAATTAGATGTGAATAACGCTTTTCTCCATGGTAATTTACATGAAGAAGTTTATATGTCTCCTCCTCCGAGTTATCTTTCACCAAGTGATACTCGTGTTTGTCAGTTTCATAAATCTTTGTATGGGCTAAAACAGGTTCCTCGTCAATGGTTCGAAAAGTTCTCTTTGTCGTTGAGGAAATTTGGCTTCGTACAATCTCATAATGATCATTCTCTCTTTACTTTGACTGAAGGTGCTTCTTTTCTTGCTCTCCTTGTCTATGTGGATGACATGATTATTGCCGGGAATGATGTTTTGCAACATGTTTCTCTGTAAAGGATCTTGGTACTCTTAAGTATTTTCTTGGCTTAGAGCTTGTTCGTTCTCCTCTAGGGATATCTCTTTGCCAGTGCAAATACACTCTTGACCTCTTGAAAGAAACAGGAATGTCTGGTAGTAAACCAACTTCTTTTCCTATTCCGCAATAGCATCGACTGTCTTTAGATTGTGGTGAACCGTTAAAGGACCCAAGCCAATATCGTCGCTTAATTGGACGTCTTATTTATCTCACTGTTTCTCGGCCCGATATTACTTATGCAGTACAACTTCTCAGTCAATTCATGCAAAAACCTGGTCATCATCATCTTGATGCTGCCTATCATGTTCTTCGTTACTTGAAGAGTTCTCCTGGTCAAGGTCTTTTTTTCCCTTCAAATAGTGATTTTCAGATCAAAGCTTACTGTGATGTCGACTGGGCAAGTTGTCCGATGACACGATGATCTATTACAGGGTATTACATTTTCCTTGGTGCGACTCCTATCTCTTGGAAATCCAAGAAACAGTCCATAGTCTCGCGCTCCTCTGCAGAATCAGAATATCGGTTTATGGCTTCTACAACTAGTGAGCTGATATGGTTACGTGGTTTACTTGCTGATCTTTCCCTGTCACATTCTCAACCAATGCTTTTGCACTGTGACAATCAATCGGCTTTACACATTGCTGTAAATCCCGTCTTCCATGAGTGCACTAAACACATTGAAATCGACTGCCATTTCATTCGTGAATACCTACAATCTGGCATCATTGCTACAAAATATGTTTCAACTCAATTCCAATTGGCAGATATCTTAACTAAAGCTTTGGGACGTGATCGTTTTCATTTTCTTCTTTGCAAGTTGGGCATTCAAGATCTCCATGCTCCAACTTGAGGGGGGATTTTGAAGAAATCGTTTGAATATTAGAAGATATTCTGTTACCTTATATATCATAATCTTAGCTGTAAATTTCTAGAATTTAGGCTGTAATTATGCTCTGTAAATTAGCTAGCTGTCGCTCTGTTCTTTTTCTCCTAATTTGTAAGCTTCTATACTTGTATAAATTCTCTGTCTACTACAGAATGAATCATGGAATTCAGTATTCCTTTTCTTCCGTGTTTTACTTCCTATTGTTTTCAGATTTTGAATAATAAAATCTCTGACAGTTGGCTCGTTGAATGTTTTGAAAAGTTGTGGTGAGTTGAAGAGAAATGTTAAAAAATCTGTGAGTTTTAGATAATTCCTGTTTCTATTAGCCTGGCCTCTAAAGCATCACCAGGTTATCTGTATTTGTTGGGAGTGACAAGAGGAGAAATCAGATATAATCATAACCGGAGATATGGTTCATCATCTGCCATTAATCTTTAGTAACGAACCCGGCCAAAAGGCTGGAATTAGTAGTCTTTTGTAATCAATACAATAGAGGCCTTGACAATCAGGGTTGGAATTGCAGAGCCTGTTAATGTGATTATTGAACTCATTATCGACTAGACACTTTATTTCGTGGTGGTGAACCACCTTCTTCAAGTGCAGCTCAACATCTTTGTTCCTCGCTAAGCTGCTCTTTTGGATATAAAGAAGACAATTACTGTTAGAGCCTCTACGTAGACTGGCATGGCTCTCCAGGCTTATAGCCAGGGACGCAATCGCTGTCTCTAACTTTTTATTTTTCCTGCTGAATCAATGCTATTTTCCTATAAGAAAATGGTAGCAACCAAGGAGGTTGGGTGCTGGTAGATGATCAACAAGGAAGAAAAACCAGTCAAAATTAATGGATTTAATGGCAATTGAAAGGGGTTTTGATTGGGTAATCATCAACAGGAAGATAGAAGACAAGAATTAGTAGCTGAAATTTGAGTGTGTGTTCTGAGAGGGGGAGCTACGATATTACCAGATGATTGATTTATTGGGACTTGTGTCCTTTTATTGGATTCAAGGGACCTGCCAATGTTCACCGAGGGAAGAAAAAAGGTTGGTTGACAGAGAATTGAATTCCAGTTGGGATGATGAGGAACAAGTCCTTAACTTGTGAAAATTTCTGCAGGTAAATGGGGAAGAGCATTCCACTCTACTATGGGGAACAAATTGAATTGGGTGGAGAGCTATCGAAGAAAACTGCTGGTAACCTAGTAGTTGATGACTTTACACAAATGATGCAGGCTGTGCCTAATGGCCCTTAATAGGATGGGAAATCTTTTTCTTTTGGTAGGAGATCATATCGTATCAGTAAATTATCAATTAATGATCTCGAGTATTAAGAACTCTAGCTAAATCACAAGGCCATGCTGAATTAATTAGGCCAAACTAACTTAGAATCTTAATAAGTGGCAAATAAAATCCTCCACAAGGATGCTAAAGAAAAGTGGGTTGAAAGAAGGAACAAAAGAATTTAGCAAACTTGCATGAGAATAAAGACTAGTGAAATTCTAGACACTGGAAGTCAATTTTCCTTAGAAGTCTATAGAAGAAGAAGAAACAGCATTACAGGAAAAGTGGGTCTACCAACAAAAGGGCATCTCATGCCTCTGTTTCATGACATTTCTTTACAATTCTATTTCAAGCAGAATGTTTTTCTCTTATTTATAACAACTCTTTATTTTGTACTTTCTGCTATCAATCCCTTCTCCATTATTGCCTCAAAAGCACAAATTGGTTTCCTTCTCAGAATACACTGTTCCCCTTCAAAGCACGACTAAACATTAAGACATCCAACTAGACCATTTCTTAGAATATAATTTATTTTATACCCATGATCCAGTGGCATAACGTTACCTAGGATCTAATTCAGTAATCGACACATCATTGACAGAAAAAGGTATTGACCTACTTGTAGAAGTATCTGGTTCAGTTTCCTGCCTTTCAGTCTCACCTGTGGCCATGTCTGTAATCATTTTGCTGTGAGCGAAGCGTGGAGGTCGTAAAGGTAATTCAAGAGTAACAGAATAACTGTTCAGCATGAGAACTATTCTTGCCATAGTGGGTCTGTCAACTACATCTTCCTGAACACACAACAATCCAATATGAGTGCATCGCATCACTTCATCTCTGGAATAGTGTTCTGTCAGAATTGGATCCAACATCTGCAAAGCTGTCCCTTCATTCCAATGTCTCCAGGCCTACAACAGTTCATCAATACAGAAGCAGTTAACTTACCTCTCCAGGGCATATTCTCAACTGATGATCAAATCTATGTGCTAGTAATTCTGGCATCTGGTAAGGATCTAAAGTTCTATAAAAAAAGATAGGAGAAATTCTTGAAAATTTTCCCACTTACATAGCTTAAAAGGTCTTCTCCAAATTCTGATTGGTCAAATGAGCTGTTCTTATGGCCGGTTACAATCTCTAAAAGTAAAACACCAAAGCTATAGACATCTGACTTGACTGAGAATTGTCCATGCATTGCATACTCCGGGGACATGTAACCACTGTAAGCAATCATTAATAAGAAAACACTCATTGATGGCAGCAGAAAACAATTTGAGTTCAATATAACTAATAAAATTTCCTCCTATCAAATCTTATAAATGATATATGGCTTCTTGATCTGAATTTACATCTGATTAATATCAACACAAAACCACCAAACCAGATCACTCCATTGCCAAATGGCAAACATACTTTTAGGCTCAGTTTGGGAAGTGTACAAATACAAATATGTACAATGCAAAACCTTGTATATTGTATTGTAAACCTTGTATTTGCACTGTATATATTTGTATTTGTACTCTTCCCAAACTGAGCCTTACTGAGCCTTTGGAAAGAGTAAAAATACAAATATGCATAGTGCAAGTGTACAAATGCATACAAAATAATACAAAATACAAGGTTTTTCCCTCTGCATATTTGTATTTGTACTCCTTCCAAACTGAGCCTTAGTTACAAATAATATAAGCTATTCTGATGCAAGAGATTCAAGAGTGAAAATTAACTTACTATGTTCCTACTATTCTGTTTGTATTTGCTTGACTTTGGTCAACACCAAAAATTCTTGCCATCCCAAAATCAGATATTTTTGGGTTCATATCACCATCTAACAAGATATTACTAGCTTTAAGGTCTCGATGAATAATCCTGAGACGAGAATCTTCATGGAGATAAAGAAGCCCCCGAGCAATCCCTCCTATAATTTTGTAACGTGTAGGCCAATCCAAACATGCACGTTTATCCGGATCTATCATTCATTCAAATAAAATGTCAAGTTAGGACATTGGATTTGATGAGCCAATTGACAAGTGACACACTACCATTCTAAATGTGTTGATATTTCATGGCCATGCCCTTTATTTTCAGTTTTTTCTTGTGGAAATAATTAATAATTTGTAAACCCATAGGCATTACAGCCTTCGGCAATTCATATGGCATAGAAAAAGAGTAATTCAACAAGTACGAATGGAGCATATATATATGTGGGTTGTTGCATGTGTTAAAGAACAAACCAAATAGGAAGTAGTCAAGGCTTTTGTTGGGAACAAATTCATAGATAAGTATCTTCTCTTGGCCTTCTAAGCAAAACCCCAAAAGCCTAACAAGATTCCTGTGTTGAAGCTTGGCAACCAATACCACCTCGTTCTTAAATTCCACTGCACCTTGGCCGGAGCTTCTAGAGAGCCTTTTTACAGCAATCTCTTGTCCATTAGAAAGTTTACCCTGGGAATTCATTGTAAATAACTTATGAACTTCTCTAATTCTGTGGATGAATGAAATCAACTTCAAGAAGTCCAAATTTCTGATAAATAAATTATATTTACATACATGGATTCTAGTTTCTCAGTAACTTCTTACCTTGTAAACACTACCAAATCCACCTTCACCAATCTTATTTCCATCAGAGAAGTTGTTTGTAGCCGCGGTGATTGTGATCAAATTAAATTGCAGTGACTCCACGCCTCCAATTTCATTGCCAACTAGACCGAATTAAGTCAAGTGAAAATGGTAAGAATCTGAAATGAATACATAGATACTATACAAACAAAAAGAGGTTCTTGATTTCTTCAATAATCTGAAGAAACAGACTGATTATTAAATCCAAATCTTATTTGCTTAGCTAATTATACGAAACACTAAAATTATGTTGCCCATCAAACTTATGGAGACATGATTACCTTGTTCTTCACCGACTTTGTCCTTTTTCTTCCTACGTAGCCAATAATAGCAGAGTATAGAGAGGAGCAACACTGCGATAACAACTGGAACAACAATAGCAACAATAGTTCCAGCTGGCGTCTTTTCCCCTTTTCCTGCGTTGAGGAGAAACCATTTGATAATAATGAATTTTGGTCTTAGACGAAAATTTTTAAAAACAAGTAATGATGATTTTAATATCTTGAACAGGCCAAAGGATTTCTGCATGATTAAACTCAGGCCCCGTTTTGTTTGCAGGAATAGGGGTTTGGAATCGGAGTCGGAATGAGTTTTCGACTGTATGGTTAGACGAAATCTGAATTCCATTCCCATTTCTTGCTAGAATGACATTCTCCTATTTGAAAGAATGGTCATCCCCTGCCTCTCTCTCGAGAATGAAGTCTCATTCCGGGTGATTCCAATTTTCATTCCTGTTTCTGTCTGAATCAAATAGACTATGGAAATAGATCATTCATTTCAAAGGATTTCGATTCTAATTCCCACGGCGAAACAAACGGACCCTCAATGTTTTCAAGGTTGCCTTTTACAATCAGTGCAATTTCTTCAAAAGCTACTGCATAACGACCACCAGGAAGTTCGTGGAGGGGTGAATAAGATAGAATACTAAGTTGAATCTCAACCCTGTGCTGTGGAGGTCGAGAATACTCTCTTTGGGAAACAGAGTAACGTTCCCCCTATTTGGGATGTTGGGTTGAGTTCCGAAGTAAAAAAGGAATTTAAAAAAAAAAAAGGAAAGCCTACTGAAACAAAACTTCAAATGGTTTACCTGAAGAAGGGGTAACGCTGTTAGTTGGAGGGGAAGGACTGAGAGGTGACGGAGGCGGGGAAGTATCCGTGAGCTGGTAGAAAGGATATATCTCATACCTCAAATTACAGCTGGGCCCAATAACACGTCCACCTTGTTTCCCATCGCAGCACATGGGGATATCACTAATGGCGCGTAGAAGACATTGGTAACAGCCGTTTCCTGATAAATCTTGTGTGCATTGAACTAGACTGTAGAGGTTCCGAGAACCAGAAATATTAGCTTCTTGGGTGGCGAATTTCTTGGGAGAAGAATTGAAGGCTGCCTGACTGGCTATCTGGTTCATCGTTTCATTCAAGAGCTGATTGAACCTGTCTGGATTCGAGATATTCTGCGAACTCAACATATAGAAAACTGGGTCGGCCACGAAGGAAAAGAAAGATAGGTGGGAATAGCGTATCATGCACTCATCGTACCAAATGGTTGCGACTTTCCTGTTGGGGCATCGTTGAGTGATGTCTTGAGTGGCGGTCACAACGCAAGTTCGGCAGACATCGTCGGTGACATCGCCTCTGCAAAGGAAGAGGCCGTAGACCCTGTCGGGATTGCTACCGGCGGTAGTGTTGTAGAAACCATTGTTGGTGGGTGTGGCGTTGGAGGAAAGAGAGGAGAGGAGGAAGTTGAGATTCGCCTGAAAAGTGCTATTAGTAGTGAAAGTCGTTGTATTTGGACAATTGTTGTTCAGGAATTCGGCACCACAAGGAAAGCTGAGGAAGAGAAGGGAGGCGATGGAGTAGTAGAAGAAGAATAAAAATAGAAAGCCAAAAATGTCTCCTCGTCGTGAGAAGTCCCAGTTGAGACCAGGCTCCATGGTTTTATCAGGTTTCATTTCATCTCTTCCATCTTCCTCTTTTTGAGTTAAGTTGGTCGATTTTATTCATGACTGAGGGGTGTTATATAGGTTAGATGACAAATTGGATAGTGTGTTTTCATATCCAAACTACAAGTTAATCGTTTTACACGGTGGATAAAAATGTATGGACTGATTTACATCATACTTTTACAAGTTTTAGAATATTTCGATTTGTATATTGCATTTGATTCCATGCATCTCAACTATAATATTTGAGATAATTTATGTCGTTAATCATTAAAAAATAATATATTATTTTTTGCAATATACACAATAGAAAAATATTAGTAAATTGCTAAGGATTTTAATAATTAATAAAAATAATATTAGTAATAATTAATAATATTAAATAACAAATAATGATATTAATATTAATTAAAAATGAGTAGTAATATTAATGATAATTGATAATATTAATAACAATTTTAATAATATTTAATAATAATTAATAATATCAATAATAATTAATATTAATTATTAATATTAATAAAAGTAATACTTGAAACTTAATAATTAATAAAATAATATTAATATTAATTAATAAACATGAGTAGTAGTGACCATTGGTTCAAATAGAGAAGAGTAATATAGCATCAGAATAAACAAAGGATGAATACTTACTATTTACCATCGACGATTCAATGCAGTAGTGACCGGAGGAGGTGTCGCAAGTAGTTCATACTAGGTTTGTCAGTAATTTCTAAAAATCCAAGGCCTGATCTAACATCCGATCTGATTATCTCAGATTCAAATGATATATTTATGTAATCGGATTGGATTCGGATGTTACAATTTACATCTGATTAATAATCGGATTAGATTCGAATTTGACACCATCCGATCTAATTAAAATATGAAACCAATTATTATAATATTTATTAATTTTAATATATAAATTTTATATAATTGTATTTAAAATTATAAAAATATATTCTATATATTATATTATATATGAATTTATATATAATAATTTAGTATGTTATATTTATATTAATTTATTATATATAAAAGTTGAAAAATAAATAAATTTTATTTTTCTAGTATTTTAGAAAATTTATAGCAGAGTCGAATTAAATTCAGATCCAATTCGAGTCTGTTAGGATTTGAATTTGAATCCAAGCCAATTGGATTCAGATCTAGGTTATCAATAATCGGATTGAATGTGGGTTTTGTTGCATCCGATCTTAGTCCGATCCGATTACAACCATAGTTCAAATAAAGAAGAATAGCAATGACGAGTAGAGAAGAATAGGGGTACTCACAGTTTGGTTAACCGAACCGTGGGGTTTTTTCTTGGACCGAACCAATACTACCAATTTTTTGAAAACCGGTAACCAAAACCAGTCGGTTAACCGATTGACCGGTTTGGTTCATCGATTTTTTGGTTTTTTAATTTTTATAATATATATTATAAATATATATAAAATATTATATTTTAATTAATAAATAATATATCATATTATATATATATTTATATAATGCATATTTATTAATTTATAATATATAAAAATATATGTATACCGGTCGGTTCAGTTAACCGATTTTTTGGTTCGGCTTTGTTCGGTTCGATTTTTTGATTTTTTTTTGCTCACCCCTAAAGAAGAAAAACAACAACGAACTCACAAAAAAGTGTTGCAATGGTAAAAAGAAAAAATGTGTTATACTAGGGTTAAACATCCATGTGAAGTATGAGATCGTTATTCCATATACAAAACAGTATGGTGTAAATGCTTCCACGAGATAAACCTATGGATGAGAAAATGAACTGTGATATAGACCAATCCACGAGATAGTGTAAATCAATCCATACTACAGCGAACCGAACGCATGGCATAGGAGTAATGTGGATTGAAACTGAATATATCGTGACCAATCTACACCACCAAAATCACCCTTTATGATTTTCTTTTTTCTAACCAAACAAATGGACTAAGCACCAAGAATCAGATTTAAGCAAGTGAAAGTAGGATTGTTGGATACTCTGTGGCCACTCCTTACTCGATGAAATTAGGAACATTCCCATTAAATCAACTCTCTAGTCTAGGAAGTCTAATTGTCTAAACTTGAAGTCAATCCTTCAACTTTTCTGTAAGAACTCAAACGTGTATAACGAGCTATGTTTTGTTGATCCGAAAGTGAGAAAGTTCATATAACCATGGTCACACATCAAATTTTATTTTAAATTCAAAACAGACTTATTGACTTTTTTACTTGGTCATTGCAAGATTTGTATTGCCATTACGAGCCTACGACCACCTTTGAATTCAAAGGATCATTTACTAAAACATCTCTTATACGGATTCATTAAAACCTAACTTATTGTTTGGGTTTTAATAAAATTCCTCTATTATTTGTAATCGATTTATTTAATCAACCTTCTATCACAAATCTTTTATATTGTTATAAATTGTAACTTGACGTGGAAAATGTTCAAGAGCATGGACCTATGCTATTTTATTTAAAAAATACTTTTAATACATCATACTTTTAGATCTATCACACAATGTTTGATTTAAGAAGAATGAAGAATAGAGAATATTGTTGCCCATATTTTACTAGGGTGAGTGACATATCCTTTTATATTTTTTATACATTAAATTGATCCAAACAGATTACTTAATAGAAGGTCAATTAAGTAAATAAATCGATTGCAAACTATACGAGGTCTTTTAAAAGACAAACTACAAGGTAGGTTTTAAATCCATAAAACTAGAGGGGGGTGTATTAGTAAATGACCAGTTTTAATAATTGTCACAAAAAAATAGACGATGCATATATGCATGTATGCCTGATGCATAAAAAACAAATATAGTCTTTTTTTCAACATAAAATCATTGAATCATATAGTCTTTTTTAACAATAAGCATCAAATCTGGTTAGAAAAACATATTATGCATCAAATCTGGTTAGAAAAACATACTTTTAATACCTTAAGGTCAATTTCATTAATCATGAAATATAATTTCAAAAGTTTGGTTTACGGTTTGATTTATAAAATTAAAAAATCAAACCAAAATTTTTAAAGTCCCCAACCAATGAAACCATTTTATGTCCTTGGACCAAACCAAACCACTGATATCAGTTTGGTTCAATTTAATTTGGCAGTGTGGACCATAAAATGAACACCCCTATTGATGGGTAATACTTGAGAGTAAAATTTTGGCTCCTAATGTAGTTATTTTAAACTTTGATTGTTAGATGAAATGGCTTTTTAACATCCACCATGAAAAAATGGAAGTAATTAGCACCATGATAAGAGCAAAATAAAACTCCACTTGAAATGTATTGCGGTTGCAGTTATGTTGGAAGTGGCCAGCGAAATATTGGTTGTAATTATTCTTCTGCCCCACACCCATGATTTTGTAATGCCACGCCAGGATTTAATCTGAAAGTTCAGATCTAGATTCCACTTATACAAACTCGTTTTTTCATACGCAAAACTGACGGATGAGTGGAAGAAAGTGAATGGATTGACTTAACTACACCCATGATCCACGCCTAAAGCCTCTTGTTTACTTTTCTAATATATAAGTCTTTTTATTAGGTACAACACTTGGTTTCCTAAGTATCATCACCTTTCACGTTGGGTGGAAGAAAATATGGAAAAGTAAGGACAAGCCTAATGTAGAATTTTGAATTCCACTGCAAAATTATAAACTAAGGTTTTTAAAATTGACTCGGAGAATAAATCGGTCAGGGGTCTCGTTCTAACAAAAAAATGAAAAAAATAAAAAACGGTCAAAATTGTTGAATGGTTCAACTGCCCAGGTCAGCAGTTTGTTGATCAAATCAACGTTTTTTATTTTTGCAAATATCTGATTTTGAGGAAAAACGGACTGACTCCCGGTTTTTCTGGTCCAACCATCCGATCCGGTCCGGTTTTGAAAACTATACTATAAACATTCAAAATGTCAAAAACCGTCAATAATCTATACACCAATGCCCGCCCATAAATTAGCATTAATTCTTGGCACCCACCATAGTTGTACTTTAGGCCTAAAAATTCTGACCTGGGCTGAACCGTCATTATCCCAAGAAAATATGTGAAAAAGAAAAGGAGAGAGTCAGCATGTATGAACAGATATGTTCAATTGTTTTGAATTTGCAGCCACCATGTTATGTCTACTATGTAGTAGGATAAAAACGATTGGAACAATCGTACAAGAGCGAAGAAAATTATTCGTCCTTGCAAGATCAAAGTTTCAATTTTCGAAAATTTATGTTTTCAAACAAAGATGACATAGAACAGCAAACATAAAAGGAGAAAACAAAGGCAATCGGCACAAACTAGAGGTCTATTCAAATCTTGCCTCGCCAAGGAATCAAGCCACTCCGGGCAATTCCAGACAAAAAGGCCAGACTCTCTGTTAGACCCCTCTAGCCAGCATGTGACATGTTAGCTACTCCATTTACAAGTCTTTTTACAAAAACAAAGTTGACTGGTAAATTTTTACACGACTCCACAATATCTTGACTGAGAAAGAAAGCATCCTTCAACAGCTCCAGATTTCCACTTGTCACAACACTGATCAGACAAACACACACAGTCATATTCCAAAATAATTTGGGAGAAATGTAATCTCTTCAAATCCAGTCTCTTTGAGATCGCTAGGGCTTCGGCTTGGATAGGTGAGTTAGCCAAACAAAGATCCAAAATGAGCAGCTAAAACACTTCGATTGTGATTTCTAACAAATACACCGAACCCAGCTTTACCTGCAGGTAGATATAAGGTTTGGATGATGATGGTGATGATAATTGATATTTTATTTCACTGTTTTTATTGAACTTCAATTATGTATTTTTATTAACGAGGATGCTATATCCAGTGTTTGAATAAATAAGTCAACTAAAATCTCAAATTTTGAAAAATGTTTCCAAAACTCTACCCAAATTTATTAAACGTGAGTGGGAAGATGAATTTCTTTCTTTTCTTCTTTTGTGCGTGTGTGCAGGGGTAGAGGGGGGAGGGTACAGACTAGAAGATGAATTTATGTTC